CGGGCATCCGTTGCCTGGGTAAAACGTGTGTTATCTCGAGGAAATCCCCGGCCGCGTGTTTAACTATTTAACTCCTTCTCTATCTCTCTCTCTCTCACTCTGGGCTCACCATAGGCAACCGTGTTGACCGGCAAAACGGTGGTAATTCATTATTCACGCGCGAGAACCCGACCGCCGCCGCCGATGCTACACCGCGAGGACAAGAAGAGGGTCGTGATGCCGGTTTCCGGTCGGATGTCGTCCCCGGGGCGTACTGTTTCCGGTAAGGCAAGGTGATAACACTATCATTATACAACACGGTCGCGGTGCCAATGACCGCGCGTTGGTTTATATAATATGATTTAAGAAGAATGTAGTAATACTCGCGCCCTTATCGTCGTCACGCGTTCCAAAATCTTCGAGGGGTTTTTTTTTTATATTGTTTTTATAAGTGCGTGCAAAACTTGTAAAGCGGTAAAAAAAAATGAAACACGTAGGTTTTTAATACTTGTATACTAAGTAAAATTGCATTTTGCGCTTACGGCAAATTGCCTATTATCAGGGACTAGAGGCACGTGCGTGCGCCGTTAAACAAATTATTACTATTACCCGCCCATTATTATTAGGGTATAACTACCGGCTTAACCGTACAACTTTTCAAATTACTCTAGCGTTCGGAAAACATTTGTTTCGAGAGTACTTAAAGGTATCCACGAACGGATTGTGGTGTGTACGAGGAGTAGGCATACCCAGTAGTAGTAGTAGTAATAGTGGTATATAAATATAACGTAAGTAGGTATATGACAATATATATTATATATCGTTAGTTCAAGTCGTCGTATTCCAGGTGCGTTTGATGTCCTGCAGACTTTAAGGTAGCAATTACCTGTCGGCGTCTGGGTCGCATAATATTTAAACTATTACGGTCGTTAAAGTTTTCTCGTTGTGTACTGTAGTTCGAATTACATTATTTTCTATATGACCGGCATATAGTATTGTTGGTACTGTAATAATGTATATAATACTATTATCAAACAATGCAAATTATTTTACTTGTACTTATTCGATTTAAAACATTAAATGGCGCAATCGACAACCTTCGACGACGCGCCTAAATAATAATACAATATTTTATTGTATTATTGAACGAAACTCGGGACCTTGCCGACCAGATATGCACGTCAGATCTTTTGTGCCAACGCGACGCATTGTTTACGCAGTTTTCATTAAATAATCAATTTTTTTTCTCGCATTATTCTACTATTTCTCCTTGTACGATAAGCGGGGGTTTTTTTAAACAGTGTTAAGACTAAGACGTAGCGATTGATTGTGTTTTGCTGCGGACCGGTCGACCGCTGACAACCGCGTGATCCATTATATACTTACGACGCAGATGCTAACCGAATTTTTTTTTTTTTTGGGGGGGGGGAACACTTAAGGTCGCCGCGAAATCACACAGCCGTGGCCGGTAGCTATTTTACCAAATACACGTTATACGAGTGCGGTTGTGTGCAAAACATAATTTCCACAAGGCGGTCGCGACACGAACCGGACTCGCGTGACCATTGTTTAAGCGCATATGAGTTTTGGTGATGTGCAGACACGCGAATCCGATTTGAACACTCGAGTCGCATTATATCTTCTCGAGTTCAATTATATCACATTCGTAGAGTGTTGGCGGGGAGAGGGGGGGCTTAAGTCTCCCTCCAGCGCCGTATCTGATTATTTACAGTTTATCGAACAAACAAAATATACTATACACACACGCGGTGGTGGCACGCAAGTATGGGGAATTCGCGAGACGACCCTATACGGCGAAAGCGGACCAGCGATCGGCTCGAGGCAATCACACGTTGCAAAAGATACAGCCGCTCTTATATATGTACCTACATATATATTGTACAGTGGCGTTGATGAGTTCTAAAATTGAATTTCGAGAAAAGTCAACAAACCGACGTCACCGCCGCCGTCGGAAAAACATACACTCTCTCGACTCTCGTGTGCGCAATTATATTTATTATTCATCCGTTTAAGTCTAGCCGTTATATATTATACGACTGTACAGTGTGTTTATGAGAGCTTTAACGCCACCCTCGTCACCGGGAATATTATAATTGTTTTCGTATAATAAACGATTCTGCCGATTCACCGGCTATTATGGTTTATTAAAAAATAAAAACCCACAGGTAACGCCGGGACCAATTAAAAGGTCACCCGGACAACAAAAGACGGCCCCTCCAGGTGAAAACACTCGTCGTCGTTCAACCCTTTCACTTGCCTATATAGAGTCGCGCGTCGCCAGTGTAAATAAAGTACACGAACGGGTGCCGGCAGACAAAACAACAAAAAACCGATGAAAAGGCTTAGAACACACACACACACACAAACGCGTTAATTTCTTTGTAAGCACGTGGGAACGTACACACGCAAACACAACAAAGTTTAATTGCACCGAAGCTCTGGTTAATATTTGAAATTAAAAAAATAAAAATGCACAAAAAACATATCGTTTGTTTGCGCACGGTGCTGTCTTGAAGAGAGCGTGCGGTGATGTGTCCGGTGCTTGTCTACGGTCTGCGGGGGTGGGGGATCAATACACGAGCGTTTTTTTAATAATAAAACGGACGATAAATGTATATTATTTTCATTCTAATAATGTACGCCAAAGGAAATAAAGGGCGCTCTGGACGTGTCATTCGAGTCGCTGTCGTCCAATTAACAATATTATAACGAACTGCGGCAGTAAACAATAAAAAACAAACGCATTCATTGTCCAAAAACGTACGGCCGTAGAAAATTCGAGGGGCACCGCTGCGACGGTATGTCAAACTTTATGCGTATAAAAAATGCGTAGCTAATAATACTATACATATGTATATATATATATATGTTCAATTGAAACATAATAATGGAATTAAACAATAAAATCAAATAAAGCGCAGCCGCGTTTATTATTATACGCGGTGACACAGGAAACACACTGTTGATGCATTTTAAGTGCGTCTATCCTGCAGCAACAGTCACAGTCCCGATGTGTATGAGAAAAGACCCTATATGCGTGTGTGTGTGTGTTTTTATTAAAGACTACCGGAAGTTTTGGCCTTTGGGCATTTAAAAAAACGAATTAAAAAAAAAGCCGACGCTTTTCATTTAAATGAGTTTTACTTTTTTTATATTATTATTATTATTATGTGTAATTTGACGCTCAAAAGACACCGAGTGTCCGATGACGGCGTTTTGAGAGGTCAGACGAGCCGTCGCGTCTAACGAACCGTGTACTTGTGTATATACGCAACTTACAAAAAAAACTCTTAATTATTTTTTAGATACAAATGAAGAAAGGGGAATATTTTTTTTTGTTTATCGTTAAAATTAAATTTTCTGATTAACGTTTATAAATATTCGCTTGGCGTTGTAAAGGCTGTCCTTATAGTGTCTATCTATATACCTACGCGCCTTTAATCAGCGTCTCGGTAATATTATTTATAGGTATATATACTTATATTATACCGAGGTACATTATCGTTATTATTATTACGACGCAAACCGAAGCAAAGGCAAAACAAAAATTTTATATATATATATTATATAAAGGTCTACGGGTATAGAAAAAAATGAAGAAATCATAAAGTATCGTTAGAAAAAAAAAATAATAACGTTAAATACAAGCATAATGGGCGCTGCACAGGAGTGTTCCTTTTGTCGGATGATTGATCGGCAAACAGCTGCGCGTTAGATATGTATGTTTATAAATTGTAACGATATACGTCATGTAAGAGTACATACAAACACAAAAGACGGCTGTACAGGGTTGCGAAAAAAGAACACATCGCGGTCGGTTTATACATATATATTATATTAGGTTTATTATGTGCACTAGAGTCTCTGAGAAATAGACTGTAGGTATATTATAAAAATAATATAATACCCACTTTCGGACTTTTGTGCAAAACAATGACACAGAGTCGGGGACGATGTTAGACGATTCGAGATTTTCTCTTATACAAAATAATTGTACTCACAGTCTGCACAGTAAGTAAACAAGTGCGGAGTTTTTTTTATTGGGATAAATGCTAGACAGCGTTTAGGAATCGTCGGCGAAGCGAATCGCACACGGTCACGAGCGCCAACTGAGGTATAATATATTTCATTGGTCGCGGTTAATATCTCCGCGTACCCGGAATAACACTAAATATACTGCACGGGCCAATTGATTAAGTGTTTCCTATGTATTTATATACCTATGTACAAACGCGCGTGGTACTTTCAAATTACTGGTTTTGCGTTTTATAAGACAAACCGATTTATCCGATTTGTCCGGACCAATCTTGTTTCCATAACATTATGGATGTTACACACACACTTTGACGGTTATGACGTTAATTTCTCTCATCCGTTTTAAATGAATTTCCGCACTCCGACCGATTGCAGCAAATGCCCGTATGGAAATATAACCGAAGTAAAAAAATTTGGGCACACAGAGCCGAGTCAAGTCCAACAACAACATTTTTCTTTTAATAAGTTAATTATTATAATTTAATTAATTTTAAAACATGTGAGCAACTTCAAGTTTTCCTTATCCAACCCACGATTAAAGCACATATATATGATTAAAATCAGTCTTGACCCAGTCTTCCATTCTCGAAAAATAATTTAAATGAATTCTAATTAAACGAAATTGAAGAATAAATGCATTTGAATTGTCTTTTTCACCTGACATAATTCTATCGATACCATGTCGGTTTAAATTTTTAATTCGAAATTGACCATTTAGTGCTTCCCTCCGATAAGGTTACGTTAGATTTCCGAATGACTCACAATTAAAAAGATAGTTTAGACACAATACGCGTGCAAAATTACCAACAAATGAATTTGTTTAATTTAAATTAATAAAGTATCAAATTTTGTAAAAAGAATAAATCATCCGCAAATAGGAGTGATTTAAATATTCAGCTCGGGTAAGCTTATCTGTTTATCTTAATTATTCATTATTATTCTATAAGCTCATCACGAGAGATTACCTTGCATGTGTCCGTTTTCGTATACCCCGGGTACGTAGTCGCCGTTTTCGAGACGGTGTTTCTTCAGCTGATGACTCAAATGGGAAGCGGACGCGGCCAACGATAAGCCCACGGACGACGCTCGTTTGGGCGGCCTTCCCGGCCGAGAACTGTTAACAAAAAACAAACATTGTTATATCATAAACGTTAAAAAAAAACAATATAAAAAAAGACAAATCCAATTCGCAGCAAAAAAAATGTTTGCTTAATTTTTTCGACCGAGATACGTGCAGTGTTGTACCTACAAATGGAATACAATATATTAGATTTTTCCAGAGTGATCCCGTATAAGTTTTTGTGTGGAAAAAATATCTCATACGTGCGGTCCGACTTATTGGTCGGGATTATAATGGTTTTAAAAACGATTGCCGAGCGTGTAAGCTCATATTATATACACCGAGCAAGGGGAAAATGCTTTCAGCGTGGTTTAATCTGGTAGCAAATACAGTGTTATTATTTTCCTCTTCTTTACAGATAACAGGTTTTTTTTTTATTATTTTCACGGGGCCAAATAAAAATCACGAGAAGACACGATTTTCCCAGTTTTTTTGCTCTGTGTATGTGTGTGTGTGTGTGTCGGGCGCGTGTTGGGTTTATGACGAGGAAACCACACAAACGGCAAACTCATAATTCAAAAAACGCCCGTCGTTTCCATTATAACTGTCAGCGGCAATATTTATTTCTCTTGTTACATATATATATATATATATATATTTATATGTTTTTACGACTGGTGTATAACGCTGATAACGCTACCGCCGGTGGTGAGTTTGATAAGAATAAAGCGAGTAAAAGAGAGAAGCGTAGGAGTTGCTTCTTCCGGGGGAACACCGCCGTTGTCGTTTTATTTACGACCCGGTTTTTATTGGTTTTCACCGTCCACCGACAGAGCACACGGACCGTTAAGTCGGTCTTTCTGTTAATTGACTTACTGCGTCTACTAGCAGCAGCAGCAGCGGTAAATCTAGGAGCTCTGCGCCGGCCGGACTTAACACCACTCCTGGTCGCCGCCTGGCAATGAAAACCGCACGCGTTTAAAATCGTATATCGTCGTGTCAATTGTGTTAAGCCCGAGGTGTGTTGGTACAGAACTGGTGTATGTGTGTGTTTCTAGAAGAAAACTGTGGCCCCGGAGGAGAATATTAAAAACAGTGGCCGTAACCGTAGAGGCGGATGATAAATGTACTTTTAAGAATCACCGCGTTCCACTCCTCTTTTACGGATGTTTAAGCCAAATAAATTATGTCAAAGTGTTATGAGCTCGATATTATTATGGCCCGCGTTTTGTGTGCGTACACTTTTTTTCCCCATACAACCCTCGCGCGGTAGCTATTATTGTTATTATTTGTTTTTGCTTTCAGGACTTTTTCATACTACCAGACGGGGCGGCGGCGCGGCGGTGGGCAGGAGGAAAACCGCGGTTTTCGCATATCAATACGGAAGGAGCGTTTTGAAAAAAAAAAAAGAAAAAGGGGAACACGAATAATTCGTAAAGAATAAACATAAATAGCGGTATAAGGAAAAAAAATCAGATTTATGACTCGGTCGGGGTAAAAAGGAGGAGGACGTGGCCGCATATTCCACATTCATTTGTTAGTCCGTCGGAGGAAGTAAATAATTCAAATTGGCCGTCCAACAATGAGCGGTCTTTCCCCGTTTATCAGAAAAACATTGATACATTGCCGTGGGGTGGTCTCAATTTTTTTTTACCGACATAATAACATCATTCGACCGGCACAATGCCCGTATAGAGAGAAGGGCATGATGCCTTTTATTTTCTTCGACGCGGTACAATATAATAATATTCGCAATACCTTTGTTGACTTTTTTTTCTCTCCCATTACCCCGGATAGAACGCGGCGTACCACTACATATTATATATGTACATGTATATAATATAATATGTAAATTGTTCGTTTACATAGCATTTCTCTCTCGTTATTTCTCTCTCCCGGAGCAGCTGTTTTATTCCCGATAGAGTAAAAAAAACCGAAACCCCTAACAGCTAAATAATATTTTGACTTTACATTACATATATACACCTACCAACAAACAAACATACGAAAGTCGCAGCTGAACGTACACGGTTATCGAATATGAACCGCGTTAACCGGAAAACAACAGTTCTATCAACACTTAATATTATTGTCTCGTATAATAACCACAGCAAGGTACAATATTATATGATAAACCGGTTGATGCGCAGGTCGGAACAAACACGGGTCAGGTACGGAAAAATTAAACATCCTCGTTTTCCCTCAGAGTCTACACTCGCAAAAGTTCGTTAAACTTTATCAACCCCGCCAACCCGGTTAAACCGATATCCGAAAAATACCGTAAAAATACACCCCTGGGATCACACACGCCCGGGTTATCTGGTCCAATAAATCTGTGACGATTTTTTTTTTCTGCACCAAATACTATATTGGAAATATATAATAGAAATATAATACACATGTCATATACACACACTATATATATATATATATTTATAACATAAACGACGTTTGTTATTTTTGCTCTATCACCACGTGCCACGCCGGTGATAACACAATAGGAGGGAGCATTGTTCGACGAATTTAGCGGTATACACCCCTTTTCTTTTTTTTTTTAGTAAAAAAACACGAGAACCTAAATACACACACACAAGCGTGTGTCTGTATACTGTTATGATAGTATACATATATCTATGATATTCCCGATGAACTGACAATGACTCGGGTGTATCGATAGGGTTACGGATGATCGACTGCAGTAGTGACGACGGTAACACGAGACGAACGAATAGGTTCGCGACACGAGTAAATAATAATGTATTACTGTATTACCGCGCTATTATTATTATTGTTATTCGCCGTCGAGAGGGAAACTTCGGTAACAAAAAAAAAAAAAAACATTAAAAACTAGCGAAAAATACACAAAAGTCGTTATCGAAATCGGCGGATCGTTTGACTTGTACTAGTCATAAAGGGTGGAGAACGGATTCCTATTATGTTTAGGCGCTGCCCGCAAGGGTGACTGCGACCTGCGGGGCACATGATATTGCTCGGGTAGTTATTTTTTATTTTTCGTTGTCGGCCGACTTGGTTTGCCGGTGTGTAGGGATGGACTAGATAAGGTAGGCAGGCAACGGCCGGCGCACAACCCGTTTTTGATTGATTCTATTGTTGTACACGCCAGACGGCAGTAACGCTCCTGGATATTGGAAACCTAACCGAATAATATAATAATATTTGATACAATGCATAAAAGATAAACATACGACATGTCCCAAGAGTGCCGTGATACCTCGAGTACTCAAGTAACTATTATGTGTAAATAACTCAAGTAAATGATAAACGGTTGTGAAAAAATTTTGGCCGCGCCAGAAACTTGTGACACGGTATAGCAACAAGAAGGTCCCGCTCAAACGGTTATAATATATAGTGATACATACAATAACAATTAATATTATTTAATTATCGCGTACAATATCAAAGACTAAAAACAGTACCCAGAGTGCTGGTCTAAATTTAACGCGCGGCTTTTATTTATTTTTTTACGACGGATTGACATTAAAATTTATCTTAAAAAAGGAAGACGTTATCAAAGAGATTTGGATGCAGCATCCTGGTAGCTGCGTATCCTGTGTGTGTGTGTGTGTACTTTGATTTTGGAGTATTCGGTGATATGTAACAGACGCCCGGGCGACAGAAATCGTCATCAACGAGGCGCCGGCCATCCTGATGTGTCTGCCAGCGCGCATGTGATTATTATATTTACCCCATGTGGCCCGGGAGACACATGTCCCGCATAGAGCACATACAGACAAACAGCATTATAAAGCGTACAAGGGTCGAAATATAATATTATCTCGTTTGAAAGCTATTGAAATTGTTTATTTAAAAAAAAAAAAAAAACGCGCATATATAAACACAAAGAGAGTATATAAGATATTATATCCGATGATAGGATGATGATTACCGGGTGTGTTGTTTTTCACTCGACCGAGTGACGGTGGTGGTGTATGGACCAAGGACTGTGTTGGACCCTTTTGAGGGTTGTTTTTTCGTCGAGTGCGCTTATAAACAAAGACGATAACATTATTTTTTTGTTCCCCAATAATTAATACGCGACGCGTAGTGTATGTTATACCTATACGTGCGTATATGGATAAATAATATTATTATTTTCTACGAGTGCGGTGAGAAAAAATAACACATTTCTAAAATAGGTTTGTTTACCGTGTCGTTTTCACTCTCGCGCACTTGGCCGTCCGACTACCCATGTTGCAGACGGCGGTGATTGATCTATGGTGTGTATATTACGATTATTACTATTATATTTTACATAAACGCGACGCGGCTTGTATGGTACGTACGCATTCGCTATTGTATACTTGAAGATCCCCCCGCAAAGGTTACATAATATAATACACTGTGAGACCGGAATTGACCGTTGTGTTATTTAGCGGTTTCTCAAATAATATATACTATTATAATATACTTGTTGTGTTCAAAAATATTTTTTTTCAAATTTAGATAGATTTATATGTTTATATTATATTGTTGGATTATGAGAAACTTTTAATTTCCGATGTACTCAAAAGGCCAAGAGTTTTTTGGCGAAAAAATGACACTTTATTCGGTAGATAATATTATAATCTTTTTATAAAATGTTAGTATGATTTATTCTAGTACTAATTGGTAAAAATAGGTATAATATAATTTCTCCCAATCAAAAAACATGATGTTGGTCATTTTACAATTTCATTTATCTAGTTAAAAAGCTACATAGTGCTTAAAATGTTAAATCAACTTTAATAAATTGCCGAAATTGGTAGGTGGAAAAATATGTAAGTTGTCAAACATATGTAGCCAATAATAATTGTGTTGATATGTCTATTTATCGCGTACTGTAGTTTCGAGACGTCGACTATCTTTTTATAAAGACTTATGTTAAAGTGTAGTAGGAAATGTCAATAGTTTTAGGACCTGCAACGAACAATTACTAATTAATATTATCAACTATCAACACTGCTCAGTGCAAACATTCGTTTTGGGATGTGATGTATAAAATGTGTGCAAATGCACATGCATATAAATTAAGTAGGTATTTTTATTAAAATGAG